GTGAGCCCCGGTACCTCCATGGCTCTGACACCCAGGCCTTCAGCCACCTCTGTCCCTGCCTGATGCTCAGAGCTTAGAACTCATAAGTGCCCCTCTCCTGACCACCCTGTCCTCCCTGCCCACAGACCCTGCACAGGTAGCATTTATCACATCACCTTGTAATTATCTCCGGTGTCTGGGAGCTCCGGGGAGTAGGGGAGGAAGGCTGAGTCTCGTCCATGCCCCAGCCCCACCCCTGCGCCTGGCCTGGTCACTGGGAGAGCTGACGCACCCTTGTCTCCACAGCCTCAGGGTTGCATGCCCAAGCCCGTCTGTCTACCCCACCCAAGCCCGCCCCCAACTCCCTGACCTTGCACGAGCTAAGCGGATCTGTGGTTTCACGGAGGCCAAAACTGCCCAACACTTTCCATGCATGCCCTGCTGGGCCCACCCGGGCTTCCAGGAGCCCCACCCCACCACTTCTTTCCTGGCGTCTCCTTGGCTCCGTGGCCTCCTTCACCTCTTCAAGCTGGACTCACCAGCTGGGTCCTGCTGAAACATCCTGCCAGCTCATGTTTCACACGCCTCAGGTCGACATGCCCAAACCTGGGCTAAGCAACGACCCTCCCCAGACCTCCACCGGCCACATTAGCCAGAGTCTGGCCCTGAGCAGCCGCCCCTGCCTCCTCACTGGCCCCATTCAGCTGCACTTTCACACCCCGTCTCCGCAGCACCTGACCCCAGCCCCTCAAGGGCCACCACTCTCACCTGGCAACTCCTCCTCATGGGTCCCCAGGCCACCAGTTACCCCACTGCAGCCCCAGTGCTCAGCCTGCAAATCTGAGCGTGTCCCTCCCCCACCGAAAAACTCTTCAAAGGCCCCCTTTGCCCTCCAGATAAATTCCTGCTGTTCTGGGGCCCTGCCCCTTCCTCTGTGCAGTTGACGTGCCGCTCTCCCACTGGGACTGCATGCTAGTGCTCCTCCTTCAGACCCCAGCCTCAATGCCACCTCCTCCGAAAGAACTCCTCTGCCTCCCTGTCAGGTGACTTCCTCAGTTCCCACAGTGCCTGGGGGCCCCCATCACAGCTCCCCACCTCTGTGCGGTAGCTGGTCCACCTCCTGTATCTGTCTGAGTCTCCGCAAGGCCCAACGGTCATCAGTGAATGGACGAACGATGGCTGTCGGGGGGCCGGGTGGACACAGTACGAAGCTACGGAAGATTCAATGGTAAAAAGAGCTTGCACACGTCCAACACCACTGTGTGCCCGACTCTTTCCTTGCTGTGTCTAATCCTAAGATATTTGCCAGATGGACATTTGATTTTCCCCATTTTACAAATGAGGAAACTGAGGTTTGCAGAAACTACTAGTAGTAGTGGGTTGAATAGTGTCCTCCCAAGTTCATATCTACCCGGGAGCTCTGAATGTGACCTCATTTGGAAATACAGTCTTCGTAGACGTCATCAGTTAAAATATCATACTGGATTGTGGGGTCCCTAAATCCAATAACCAGTGTCCTTATAAGAAGGCAACGGGAAGAGAGATGCACAGACACAGGGGAGAAGCCCATGTGACCAGGGAAGCAGAGACTGGAGTGATGCAGCCACAAGCCAAGGACTGCCAGCAACCATGAGAAGCTAGGGAAAGGCAAAGAATGATTCTCCCCTAGCGCCTCCAGAGAGCATGGCCTGCCACGGCCTTGATTGCAGACTTCTAGCCTCCAGAACTGTGAGAGAATCAATTTCTGTTGTTTTAAGCCACCCAGTTTGTGCTGATTTGTTACGACAGCCACAGAAAACTAGTACAGTGACCTACTTTGCCTACGTTTGTACCCCCAAAAAGGAGCAGGTCCAGGGGATGCAAATCCAGGTCCTGAGCCCACACTTGTGACCCCCATGGCAGTAACTGGCCCTGCAGAAGACTCACAACCTGTCCCTGTAGAGCCAGCTCCAGGGAAAACCGTCTCCACAGAGCGTCCATCTGCTTCCTTCCCCTTAGTGAGTTCCAAAACCATCCTATGTCCTTCTTTGCAGTGGCTGCCAGAAGGCTCAGTGTCACCTGGCTGCTTGCTGAGGTACCATCTGCTGTGAGCTGGACTTCCCCTTCCTGGGCTTTGACTACCCCACTGGGTGGGTAGAGAAGAGGCCCTAAGGTGGGGCAGGTCCAGTTCCAGCTCCGGCTGCAGCTCTCCACCCTGCCTGCTGGGTCCTCTGGACCTTGGTTCCCTGTCACTCCAGCCAGGCCACCACACGGATGGCCAAGGGCTTGGGAAGCCAGAGGTGTGGCTGTCACCGCTACTTGTCTCCTGGCAGGCCCTACTTGGGGCCCAAGATGCCCCCAGCACGGCCTGGGGACCAGCTGTGTCCCTCCCACCTGACTCTCTAGCTCCCCAACCTCCTACCTCCCTGGCTGCCCAGGGGTGGCCAGGCTGCCCCAAGAGACCCGGTACAAGTCCCTGAACCCCCACATCAGCCCTGGGGGCTGAGAGGGCAATATCACAGCCCCCACCCCACTCATGGGGTCTCCACAAACACAGTTCTGCCACCTAAGGCAACTCTGGGGAGAGGGCCAGCAGCCTTTAGTTAAGCACACATGGAGGCTAGTGAGGGGGAACATGCCCCCACTCCCGAGGGCACAGCTCTGTCTCTGGGGCCTCCTGTCCAGATCAGATTAGGCCTGAACGAGTCCCTAAGAGCCAACTCAACCTAACTACCCCCACAGGAGGCTGAGGGAGGCCCAACCAGGGATCTGGGTCTAGACACCACCCTCCCTCCTTTCCTGGGAAAATGTCCTCCAGGAATCACTCAGCCAAGGACACAGAGGGTGGGGTGGGGGGTGAGGGGTGAGGCTGGGGGGCAGTTCTGCTTTCCACAGGACTCTAAGCTCTGGGCATCCCCCTACGCCACTGCCTGGGTTGCCCCCTTCATGACATCCAGGCTCAACACTCCCTCCCTCCACCCCGAATCCCATCTCAGCCTTCTTACATTCGAGGGGACAATGTCCAGGCCTGGCTCAGCCTCTGGAAGGATATGGTCAGGATCTGGGAGACCTCCCAGCTCTAGCTCCAGCCCTGAGTTTGTGGGGGAGGAGGAGGAGGGTCTTACCAGGCTGCCAACTTTGGACAGGGGGTCTGAGAGGTCCCTGGGGCAATGGCGCTGCTGCTTAAGTCCCTGGCCCCATCACGTCAGTTCAGCTACAGCGCCTTGGCCCTGGAGGAAGGCCCGCCGGGCAGTCGTGCAGGTTTGCCAAGGAGGAAACCTGTGTTGCCAACGTGGCCCCAGGACAACGCTGGCTGTGGAGAGGGGGAGGGGAGGCTGCTGGGTCCAGCTGGCAGATGGCAGGGGAGAAGGGGGCCCAGGATAGAAAGGCCCCAGGTACAGGCTCAACAGGGGTGCCCAAGCAGGCAACGACAGGGTTAGGGTTCAGTGGGCGGTCAAGGGATAAGGATATAAGTCATCCTCTGCCTTGTCTCAGGGGCTCGGCCTCAGGGGACCACAGACACCAGCACCCTGTTTCTGGACACACTTCTAGGGGGCAATGCTTAACCCAAAGGAAGAAGCCTGACTCTGCCCTCATTTACTCTGCCCTCATTTACCATGTGCCCTCAGACAGCCTCCCCTCTCCCCCACGTACCCCAGTCTGTGCTCATCCCTCCTGCACCAGTGCCCAGGCACACTGTCTTCACAAGCTGGACACACCCTCCTTGCTGTGGGAGTTCGGATCTGAGTGCCCCAAATGCCTCCTACCCAGGGAATGTGAGGGGCCCAGAGCTGGGGGGGTTGGGAGGATGGGGGCTGCAGGGGACAGCAGGCCTCTAATGAAGGCCTCTGGAGCTGGGCGGGTCCCCAGCTCAAACCTGGACCCTGGAGGAGTCAGGGCTCCCCCTCCTCACACTGCCCCCACTCCTGTCAGGCAGGAGGACTGAAGCCAGCGGCACGTCCTGCTGGCCTGCTGCCACCCTGCCCAGAGCTGGGCTTAACGGTTAACCCGCACTCCCCATCCTGTTTACCACCCAGGCAGGGGTCAGAGGAGGCGGCCTCCACCCAGCCTGCCCAGGCCTGCTCCCAGCCAAGCAGGGAGGGGCAGAAAATATTTGTCAGTGCAGGAGTGTCCACACAGGGTGGACAAGTCAGATACTACGATTGGGGGAGATTCCTGAAAGCAGCTGCTGGCACTGCCTAAGGCTGGCAGACGGCAACGGAGGCCCCAGCCACCCCGCCCTGATTCCAAGTCCAGTGCTCTTTGCACCGCCAAAGCACTTGTTCCACCCACAGTCAGCACTGGGGCCAGAGGGCTTAGAGGCGCCAAGCATCCTGGTCCTGGCCCGGCTCAGCGCCTCCCCCCGCGACTCCAGCCCTGGCGACAGAGCTCCAGAGCCCGGTCTAGCGCGGGCGAGAGCCTCCTGCAGCGAGACCTCCCAAACTGTCTGGGAGCTCCGGGGCCCCCAGCAGGAACCACCCGCTGCTTCCACCGCTCCAGCCTGGCCGGGGCGCGCAGCCTGCAATCCCACGCTCCCCGCAGGGCGCATCCCGAGCCCAAGCGAGACCGGGGCGGGGCGGGGCGCAGACGGCCCGGCCTCCCGCGCGCTCGGCGCCCGCCGCGCAGCGGCTATGGGGTCGCGGCTGGGCCGGCGGGCCGGACCCGAGGCGGGCTCGGAGGCCGGGGCGGCGGGGTGCGGGCCCGCGCCCTATGAGCGCCGGGTGCGCTGGCTCCGCGAGATCCAGGCAACACTCCGTGAGCGGCGGCCCGAGCGCGCCCAGCAGCTGCTGCGCCTCCTGCGCCAGGCGAGAGAAGGAGCGGGCCAGGCCGGGGAGGGGCTGGGGGCTGCACGCCGCGGGCCTGGAATGGGCCGGGAAGCGATACCGAGCTGGCCTCGGGCACGAGAGTCAGGGCCAGCCCCGGAAGGGCGCGCGGGCAGGGCGGGTTCCGGGGGGAGGGGAGGGGAGGGTCCGACTGGCTGCAAGGTGTGGGTGTCTTGTCTCAGCGAGAGGATGAGGGAGGGAGGCCCGTGGGCTAGAGTGAGGAGGGGACTGTGAGTGTGGAGGAGAGGGGCCCAGTAACTGTGTAGGCGTCTCTGGGGTTTGAGGTCAGTTGTGTGTGTCTGAGGGTGTCCCAAGCCTGGAGGTAAAAGCCTAGATTCAGGGGGGCTGGAAGGAGTGGCAAGTGGGGGGTGAATCATCTTGTATTGAGGGGCAATGGGAAGAGGGCAGCTCCCCGCTCCTCCAGAATGAAGGGAGGCACTGCACTGGACCCTGGAGAGAGCACCTTGGGAAGCCACAGCCCAGCTGGTCAGTGGGTACAACCTCACCATGATACCACGGCAGCCCAGAGCCACAGCACACATCACCCATCCTCCTAACAGGCAGCTCACCATGCCCACTGAGTACACACACCTGGCATCTGTACAGCACAACCAGCCCCACCCACATCTGGATGGGTGGGGGCTCTGGTCCCATACACACCAGGTACCTGAGTCCCAGATCCTGAGCCTTGGGTTGCCCTAGGAGACATGGGTTCTGATCCTAGCATCACCACTGGGCAAGCCACTTCCCTCTCTGCCCACGTCCACACCCCCTGCAGCAGCTGCCACCACAACCTGCCCCATCCTGTAAACCGAAATCAGCCGGGCAAGTCTTTAGCCTGAAGGTGGATGATTAGAGATGGGGAAACTGAGGCTTAGAAAGAAGTAGTGAGCCCAGGGCCACCAACCAGAGCAAACTGGGCACCAGCCAAGCCCAGAGCCCAACCTCCAGCCTTTCAGCCCCTCTCCTCCTGACGCACTGGGTTTCCTTTCTAGGCCCTGCAGGCTGGAATGGTGGAGCTGGCCCTTTAAGAGGAGCTGTCCAGACCAGCAGAAGGCAGGCTGCAGTCTGGGGCCCAGTCTGGGTCAGCCCAAGCTCACCAGTCACCCCTCCCTTCTGGATCCTCCCTAGCTGGCATCTGCGACTTGAACGGTGTTTAAAATGCAAACAGCAGAGCAGCACCAAATCAGCCACAGACTGTCCAGAGGCATAGATCTCTGTCTGGGATGGCATCTGGAGCCCAAGGCACCAGCTGGGCATTTTAGCTGGGAAACCAGCTAGGTTGCCCACTTTGTGTCGCAGAGGTTGGGACTCGAGGCCCAATGAGGGACCTGTCCTGCCCCATAATCCACAGGGACTCTGCAGTTATGACCTTTGGGCATTCCCACCTGGCCTGACTTCCTGTGCCATGGGCCTATGCACAGAGCATGTCACTCTCTGGCTTGGGAAGGGCCCACATGGGGTGTGGAGGCCCCTCCTGGCTGTGTCTGCCCCATCAGCTTGTCAGTATATCCTCTAAATGGACCCTCTGAAAGGGTGTTGAGCACCACACTAGCCTATGGGAGTAATAGGAGGCAGAGGCCAAGGAGTGAAGGCAGGAAGCCCAGGGCAGCCAGGGGCCCGAGTAGGGTCTCTGCAAAGAGTGGGAGACTTGGAGCCAGGACAAGGAGACTGGTGGGTGGGGGAGGCCACGAATACCAAGCTTCAAGGTGTTCTGAGACTGCAGACTATGCATGAGTCTCTAATATCACACAACTTCAAGAACATTTGGTCTCCACTGAGGGTCATGCTCAGGTGTGTGTTTCATAGAGCCAGCTCTAGCAGCCCGAGGGTGGACTGGGGGGTGTTGGGAGGCCAGCAGCCCCAGGAGAAGGCTGTTGGGGGATGAGGCCTGAACCTCCTTGAGCAGTAGGGAGGGAGAGCAGGGCAGAGAGGGGTGAGGGGAGAGTGTGGGGTGATTCCTGGGCTCTGGCCCAAGTGCCTGGGAAGACGGGGATGGTGGCACAGGAGACAAGGCTGGCCTCAAGGCAGGAGATGAGCATGCCCAGTTTGAGCTGCCTTTGGGACATCTGAGCTGAGAGACAGGCTCATCCCCACAGGAAGGGTCTGGACCTGTTGGCAAATGAGTGGTGGCCATAGCTCAGGACAGCTTGGGAATAGGTGGATAGAGGCAAAGGGCCCAGAAGGAATGCTGGAGAACAGCAGCCTTTGGGGGTCATCAGTGGAACCCCCAAAGAATCCTCCAGACAAGCCCAATCCCAGAGGAGTCAAGGTGTCACAGCAGGGCGTTTCACCTCCAGGGAACCAGTCTAAGGGTTCAGGACCCACTTATCACCTTCCTGAGGCTCCCAATGCACCGACCTTCTCCTCGTCTGAAGATCCACCTGCCCCTGCACAGCTGGCCCATCGCTGCCTGTGGGGAGACTCCAGCAAGCCTCAGGGAGGGAAATGGACAGAGGGGAACGGATGTGAGGGGCTCTGGCTGGCTGGGACGGGGCCTGGAGAAGGGAGGCCCTGGCTCCTGGCTCACTCAGTTCTCCTCACCACTCAGGACCTGGGCCTTGAGGGGACCCTCCTCACCAACATCCTCTACAGAAACGTGGCCTTCCTCAATCTGGTGGACCCCATCTCCCATGATCTACTTGTGAACCTGGCCCGGGACCTGCAGTGCCCCAAAACGGTGAGGCCAGTGGGTATGGGCCCCAGGCTGGGCAGTGTGGTTGACAGGGGCCAGGAGAGCCCAGGGCTGGGAGGTAGGAGCCTGGGTCCTCATCTGGCTTGCTGCATGGCCTTAGGCAAGCTGCTGTCCCTCTGTGGGACCTAATGCCAGTTTCAGTGTATTATACAGAATGTTCCGACAAATCTGCTAACAGAACCAAACTCCCAGCCTCTGAGTTCCAGAGCCATAAGAGAGTCACCCTAGGCTGGAACCCATATCCACATGTCCCATCCTGTATGAATACCCCTGGGGACAAGTGTTCACTGCTTCCCACGGCAGCTCGAGCCACAAGCAAGTCCCTTTTCGTGTTGACGTCTGCTACCTGCAGCCTCCACTCCCCCCTACCACCATGTCTGCCTAGAACACCCCTCCCCCACCCCCACACCCCTGTCCTGCTCTGTAGGCACCTGCAGACATCCTACCGTGAACACTGAAGGTGCTGTGCTCCTGACACAGCCTGTGGCCAGCCACCGGCCCCCATTCCTTCATCACAGTGAGTCCCCGCATGAAACAAGGGTGCCCCCTAGGAGCCCTGATGGCTCTGAACTCCCATGTCTGTATGCAGTTGTCACGAGCATTCTGAGGCTAGCCTAGAGACATCACAGAGACCGCCAGGGCTTGCTGCCACTGTATGTGCATGCTGTTCACAGAGGGCCTGGAGAAAACAATGTGCCAGGTAGTGGAGCGTGCTCAGTGCCAGCTTTGTGGGAATCAGGGCACTCTGTCTTCCACCCGAGCTGGTCTCTACAAGGGCCCACTTAGGACCAGGAGAAAGCCAGGTGGTGGTGCTGTAAAACATTAACCCTCCCAGCCCTGGCAGCCCAGACCCAGGCCCTAGAGGCGCAGTCTAGCTTGAAGAGTGAGAGGAAGAAGAGCATGCTGACCTGGCTTGTTCCTATTCCCTGGGGGTGGTGTCAGTGGAGCAGGGCTCCCTGGAGGGGCCTGGTCTTGCCTCCCCCTGTGGCGAGTCCCTGGGGGGCGCTGAGGGTGGGCAGGGAGTTGGCTGATAGCCTGAGACGCTGGCCCTGGGCCTGAGAACAGGGAACAAGGGCCCATTGTCTGGGCTTCCTCCCGCCGGGCACTGTGGGCCCTCGGACCAGCCTGTCCAGCTCCCAGTGGGCAGCCTCCCCTGGCTCTGTGCCAGGCCATAGCCAGGGTGGGGGGTGGGGGTGGGAGGGAAAGGCCAGTGGGCAGCTCAGCGATCCGTGATGAATGACTGTGCGCACGCGCACGCTTGAGTCCCCAAGGCCCAGAGGGGGCAGGAGGGGCTCAGCCTCACCCTGACAACGCTGCCCCGCACAGGACTATGAGCTCTGGAAGTCCTCGGACAAGATCTGCCGGCAGCTCATCTACCACCTCACCCCTCACTCCAAGCAGCAGCGAAGGTCCAGCCTGCCCCGAAGGAAGATCCAGAGCTGGTAAGAGCTGCCAGCCACAGCCCTGCCTCATGGCCTGTAGGGTCCTTTCCCAGGCTGACGTCGAGAGGCAGGGCCGGCCCTAGGGGAGAACCCAGGCTTCTCTCAGCAAGAGGCTGGTGCCTGAAATCCCACCCTGTGGGCCCCTTACCCTCATCTGCATCACGGCCCCAACTGGAAGTCAGTCTGGCTGGTGGCAGCAGATGCTCCCCAAGCCAGGCTGCACTCTCTGTATGATCCGCCACCTGCCGCTTGCTCATCCCTCAGTCCCTGGCCTGTCACAGGCCCCAAGGTAACCTCAGCAGCAGTCAGCTGAATCTCACACAGGCTGTGAGGGAGGCAGATTCTGGGTCATGACTCCTGTTTTACAGGGAAGAAAACTGAGGCTGGGAGAAGCAAAGCGGCTTGCCCAAGGCTACACTCTGCCCTGATTATTCTGCAGCCCCTTGGGAATTCTTTGCCAGGCTGTCTGAAGCTGAAGCCTCCACAGCCAGCCTGATAGCTCACTCTGCCGTGGGGTCCCCCGCAGTCACTCCATCACAGCCTTGTGGCTACAGACTCAGCCCAGGAACCAGCCACAGGCACTCAGGCCCAGGGGTCCAGACCACAGGCCCCATGCTCTCCCCTGCTTGCCCCCAAGCCCCTGACCCCCTCAGGCCTGGTGGCCCACACTGAGCCTGGAGCTTATAGGGTTGTTTCCTGCCATGGCAAGTGGGGGCCCTGGAGGTGTTCCCACTGCTCTCAGTTGACCCCCAGTCAGGCCTATCTGCCTAGCGGGCTGTGTGCAAGTGACAGGAGAGACTGAGAGGGGGCTTCTGGGGGCAGGAGGGGACCCTCCTCAGTCTCTTAAACTTCCCTTCCAGCTTAGAATACAGGGGCCCTCCCCCAGGTCAGGTCCCCACCCACACCACCCACACCTCCCCTCTTGCTACCTGGGCCTGTCCCCTCTTTAGCCCCCAAGGCTGGGGGGACCAGCCTGATACCTTGTCACCCTCATAGGAACTTCTGTCCTTAGCCCCAAAAGGTCAACCTTATAGGAGGCACCTGAAAAAATGTGTGGGCTCAGGAGTCAGAGCATCTCAATTTGGAGACCTGGCTCCCTTCTTAGTGGTGTGTGACTGTGGAAGAGTCACATCACCTCTTTGAGCATCATTTGCTCCTCTGCAGAAGAGGATCATCATTCCTACCCCACTGGGTTGGCATAAAAATAAGGGAGACAACAGGTGTAACAGGTGTGGTGATGCAGGCACACAGTGGGTTTTTATAATAACAACAGCTCTTGGAGCCTCAATGCAGGTGTATTTAATCCTCAGGACATCCAGGTCCCCTTTTCTCCAAAGGAGAAACTGAGGCTCAGAGCAGTTCTGAACATTGCCCACGGCCACCCATGTAGAAAGGGGCAGTTTGATCCCAGCTTGGCCCAACTGTGGGGGCCTGGGCCTCGCCCCAATGGGTCACTGTGGCCAGTGGGGACCTGCCTGGGCCCTGGGCCCTTGCTCAGTCCTGCAACCCTCCCACAGCCTCAAGAGCAGCCTCCAGAAGACTCTGCCAGCAGGGGAGACCGTGAACCTTTCTGGAATCCCGCTGTCGGCGCAGGACGTGCAGCACATAATGTGCTACTTGGGCAGCCAGGGCACGGGGCTCGCGGTGCTGGACCTGAGCTTCAAGGAGCTAAGTGATGAGCTGCTGGGCCTGCTGCTGCCCAGCCTCTGGGCACTGCCCCACCTCACCCAGCTCCTGATCAATGGCAACCGGCTGACGTGGGCCACTGCCCACGAGCTCACCGAGGCAGTCAAGGACACCACCAAGTTCCCCGCGCTGGCCTGGGTAGACCTGAGTAACAACGTGGATGTGGCCTCGCTGCCTCAGCCCCTGCTGGTCGGCCTGTGCCGACGGCTGAGCCAGCGCACCTCGCTCCCCACCATCTATGAGGGCCTGGACCTCGAGCCTGAGGAGCGCAAGCCTGAGGATGGTGGGGCCGTGGCCACCACCGCTGCCTCCACCTGGGGCTCTGCAGCTGCTGGGCCAGGACCCGAGCCCCAGGCCTGCTGCACCAGGTGACCTGCCTCCTACCACTGGACTGACAATGCTCCCAAGCACATAGGATAGAAGGTGATGGAGACCCTGGAGGTCCTCCAGGCCCCCAGAGATCCAGTGCAAATGCTCAGCTTGGGATTAAGGAGATGGAAGGAGAATGAGCTCATCAGAGGCTAGATGGTCAGCCCAGATGGCGGTCTCAGCCTTCCCTCAGCAGGAGCCTGGCACTCACTGTGCATACCCCACAATAAAGGGTGATGCCCCCCTCTGCCTCAGCCTTTCTGCATCATGGACCTCAGGGTCACCGAGCACCAGCCATGCTGCTGGGGTGGGGAGAAGGGGTGGCTGGGGACTTGGGCACCCCACCCACCTGAAAGGGAAGGACCAAGCTCATTCTGACCTCCCCCAGGTGGTCCCTGGACAGGGCCCCCAAGGAGAAACAAGGTGTGGGGGTCGGGTCCATCTGTGGCTGGAGAGTTAGAGGAGGCCTCCAGGGACCCAGCCGTCATGCTTGGGGAGGGGTAGGTTGAAAGCCCAGAAAGGGGCAAAGCTCGGAATGGAGCCCACAGCAAGCTCATGCCTGAGCCTAGGCTGCTGACCTCCCCACCAGGGCCCCTTGGTCTGAGGAAAAGACTGTGCTGCCAGAAGCCTTGTCTCCCACAGGGCACAGCACTGCCTGCCACTCCTGGTACAGGTCTCCTGTACCTGGCAAGTGGGCAGCTCCGTGGGGTTAGAAGACACATCAGGCAAGAGACAAAGCGCTTGTGTGTTCCCTCCAGGCCCTGGGGCCACGTGCACAGGCTGGTGGAGGTGGGCAGAGCTAGCAGCAGGGGGCTCTGGGGTGGAGTAGTCCTAGGGCTTCCCCAGGAGGTGGCCTCTCCCAGCAGGGGGCTGTCTCCCTTCCTCCCCAAGCACAATCGGGGTAGGCTCCAGGGCAGAAGCCCGATGCCACGGTCACCCTCACAGCCCCGTGGGGAGAGCTGGAGTTCAGCCCAATGAGGTACTAGGCATGGCAGAAACAAGAACGGAATTTAGAGATGTCCAGGGAGGAAAGTGAGGCCCAGAGTGGGGAAGCCAGTGGCCTAAGGCTCCTGTGCAGAGCCAGAAGGTCAGGTCTGGGGCAGTGGGATCCTGCCAAATGAGGAGAGACCAGCAGCAGAGGGAAGCCCCATGGGCCAAGGAGAAGGTGGGGGTGCCCCTGTGCCTAAGTAGCTGGGCCCACCAGCTGACCTTCCCCCACAGCTCTGGCCCACAGGGGACTGTGAGTCAGCACTGATTACAGCACATCCCCAGGCCTGCCGGAGGCACAGCAGCCTCTTGGGCCAGAAGGGAGATGGCCAAGAAGGGTGAGGATGGGATGGTGTCAGTCCCGGGACCAAGAAGGAGGCGGTAAGGAAAAGGAGCTCCCACTCCATTGTTGCCTGCCCATCCCGAGGTCAGGCCCCACTGGTCTCGCTGCTTTTGGGGGAACCCGTATCTGGAGGGAGTGGGAAGGGTGGGAAGAGCACCCAGTTCAGCCCAGCTCTGCTGGGGACCGACTTGCTGTGGGACCTGGCCAGACCCTCCCCTCTCTGGGCCTCGGGTCTCTCCTTTCTCCCCTCTGTTAAATAGGGCTGGCTGTCCATAGTCCCTTCCAGCTCTCAACACTACATCCCGGGGTCCTGGCCCCTCCCAGGCCTCCTTGTTTTAAAAACATGGGCCTGCCCAGTGGCTCCGGAGCCACAGAAGTGTCTCTTTGTGCCTCCACCCTGGAACAGGAGGCTCAGGCTCCCTGGAGTGAGGCAAAGCAGGGTGGAAGGGGCCAGTGGAGAGGAAAAGAATAGGGAAGCCGGCTTTGGGCCGGGCACACTGATAAGGCAGGCAGCTGTGTTCTCCTGCAACTCCTTGCTGGAGAAATGCCAAGCTCTCTGTGTTCTCCTGCCCTCCTGCCCCGCTCACTGCCTACCCACCACTGGCCTGAATTCAGCCCACAAACCTTGAATGTCCCTGCTCGGAGCGATTCCTACCAGGATGATCTGAGGACTTGAGCAGAGTGTCGACAGGCAAGCTCTGAGAGAATCCAGGCGGCGGCAGCTGGTCTCAATCTCCCCGCCTCTCGGAAGGAGGCTTGCGATGCAATAGCCAAGATGGAGCATGAAACAGCTCAAGAGAAGAGGTTTGGCCTTATTGCCATGCAGGTGCAAGGCCCTCACGTCGGGGCTTCATGACCACCAGTGAGGCTACTTTACAGGCAGGCACACTCTAGGAAGCGGGCTCTTGTGTGCCCTCCAGGCCAGCTCCAGCCCCAGTTCCAGACCCAGGAGGCAGCAGGTGGGCCTTGCTCAGACCGGTACTCACCCAGGTCCAGTCTTGGAGGCAGGCAGGATTGGCCCAATCCCGGCCCTGTCACCTGCTGGCAGTGTGGTCCTCTCGGGGACTAGGTACAAGCCTCCCCTTATCCTGCTGGAGTGAGGATGACACAAGGTTTGGAAAGTGCCTGCTGTGTGGGCGGCACAGACCAGACGCACTTCAGTATCAGTGGGGCCTCCACCCAGGGCCCTCTGGGTGGGAATGGCAGGAGCCCAAACCTTTGGACTAAACCAAGCTGAAGCCATTTATTTATTTAACAAGCACTCCGACAGCCTTTCTCTGGGCCAGGTACTGTTCCAATGGCTTTACACTCCTTTTAATTCTTTTTGCACTTGTGGGAGGTGGGTGCTATCACCACCTCCATTTTGGAGGTAAGTGAACTGAGGCAGGGAGAGGTTATGTCACTTGTCCAAGGTCAAAGAGCTAGGAACTGGAGAAGCCGGGATGTGAGCCAGGTGGCCTGGCTGCAGTCTGTGATGCTAACCACTGTGATGCTGCCTGTCCCACAGCCATCCCAGAAGCCAAAGATTCACCGCAACTCCTGAGCAAGCCCCTGCCAGAGGCCATTTGAGACAGAAGAAGCACCGTGGTGGCTCTGCTGGCGGGCGTCCTGCAGCGGGGAGCTGGCCCCTGGAGCAAGACCACTCAGGACCTCCCTGGGCCTCAGTTTCCTTGTGTGCAAAATGGGTGGGGAGGGGAGCAGTGTGGATCCAGGCTCTGCCCTTTTCCAGGATTGAAAGGAACTAATGAGGAGTGGGTTTGGAAGTACTTGTCAGACTGAATGAAGCCCAGCCCTGTGCCCAGGGGTGCTGGATCCACACCCACTTCTGGCAATCTGCAGCTGCAGATGCCTTTACCTTCACTTGAGGGGCCTCAGCCTCCTCAAGCCTAAACCTGCTTTGCTAGGATGCTCAGAGCATTGAAACACGTTGAAAAGATAACTGTGCTCTACTGTGTATTGAAATACAACAAAGTGGACATACCAAGTGTTACAAGTTTAGAGTGTGCAATATGGTACATTTTGACTTGTGTATACATCCATGACACCACCATCACAATCAAGACGGTCAACATACCTGTCACACCCATATCTGTTGCCCCTTGGTAAGGCCTCCCTCCTGCCCCCTTCCCCAAGCAACCATTGCTCTGCTTTCTGTCCCTATACATTGGTTTGCATTCTCTAGAGTTTTAGATATATGGAATCATATAAGGTGTACTCTTTTTTATGACTTTCACTCAGCATTATTTTGAGACTCGCCCATGTTGCTGCATGTATCAATAGTTCCTTTGAACTGTCGAGTAGCATTCTGTTGGATGGATGCACCACAGTTCATTCACCTGCTGATGGACATTTGGGTTGTTTCCAGTTTTTAGCTATTATAAATAAAGCAGCTATGAATATCTGTGTACGAGTTTTTGCATAAACATGTATTTCCTTTTCTCTTGGGTATTGGTATCTCACTATGATTTTCTTTTCTTGTAATATCTTTGCCTGGTTTTGGTATCACGGTAATGTTGGTGTCATTGAACGAGTTGAGGATTCCCTTCTCTTCAATTTTTGGAAGACTTTGTGTAGAACTGATATTATTTCTTCAATATCTGGTAGAATTCCTCAGTGAAAGCACGTGGGCCTAAAGTTTTCTTTGAGGGAAGATTTTCAATTACAATTCCAATTTCTTTAACAGATACAGAACTATTCAGGTTAGCTATTTCTTCTTGAGTGAGTGTTGGTAATTTGGGTCCTTCAAGAAATTTGTCCATTTCATCTAAGTTGTTGAATTTGTTGGCATAAAGTTGTTCATATATTCCCTTTTAACATCTGTGGAATCTATAGTAGTCACCTCTCTCATTCCTGAGATTGGCAATTACGTCTTCTGTCTTTTTTTATGAATTTATTCTTTCCTGATCAGTCTGGTTAGCGGTTTATCAATTTTACTGATCTTGTTAAAGAATTATTTTTTGGTTTCAGGGATTTTTCTTTATTGTTTTCTGTTTTCTATTTCATTGATACCCATTTTGATCCTTATTTCCTTTCTTCTGCTTACTTCAGGTTTCATTGGCTCGTTTTTCTAGATTCTTAAATGAATCTTCTTGTCTGATATTAATACAGCTGAGATCATTGATCTGAGACCTTTCTTTTTCTTTTTTTTTTTTTTTGTGAGGGAGATCAGCCCTGAGCTAACATCCGTGCTAATCCTCCTCTTTTTGCTGAGGAAGACCAGCTCTGAGCTAACATCTATTGCCAATCCTCCTCCTTTTTTTCCTTCCCCAAAGCCCCAGTGCATAGCTGTATGTCATAGTTGCACATCCTTCTAGTTGCTGTATGTGGGACTCGGCCTCAGCATGGCCAGAGAAGCGGCGAGTTGGTGCGCGCCCGGGATCCGAACCCGGGCTGCCAGTAGCGGAGCACGCGCACTTAACCGCTAAGCCACCGGGCCGGCCCCTCTTTTTTTCTAATAAAGGTGTTTAGTGCTATAAATTACCTCCCTAAGTTCTGCTTTAGTGGCATCCCACAAATTCTGATATGTTGTTTCCATTTTCATGTTGGTTCAAAATAATTTCTAATTTCTCTTTTGGTTTCTTCTTCGATCCATGGGTTACTCAGAAGTGTGTTATTTTGTTTCCAAGTATTTGGAGATTTTCCAAGAATCTTTCTGTTAATGATTTCCAATTTAATTTCACTGTGGTCACACAACATAGTTAATATGGCTTGAAGCCTTTTGAATTTTGGTAAATGTTCTATGTGCAAATGAGAAGAATGTGTATTCTGCTATTGTTGGGTGGTCCTATAAGTGTTAATCAAAGTCAAGTTGACTTATAGTATTGTTCAAGTCTACTTTATCCTTGCCGATTTTCTGCCTACTTGCATTATCAGTTATTGAGAGGGGAACTGAAATCCCTTGCTGTAATTGTATTTGT